TACAGTCACCCGCCTCCCGTCCGGCCTCACAATGAGAGCTCAGTCTGGAGGCCAATGACAGCAGCGCTGCCTCAGGAAACCACAGACACGACAGATCGCACTCGCCAACAAACGTTCAATATCCAAACAAACTCCATTCCTCACAATCCGCACAAAGAAATGGAAAAATCGAAGACAGAAGCATGGGAGCCTTGTAGGAAGGGAGGAGCGGAGACGAGAACCGCTGCATCGTGAGCTCTTTACAGGAACAGAATCAAAATTCTGTCATTATTTACTCTCCCAAACCTATGCGCTGTTACTGTATCCATGGAACACAAAAATTTAAGCAGCACTCATCCATTCAACTACAGTTCAGTGACTACGACTGTCAGGCTCAACATCATAAAAAGTAATCAATATGGCTTGTGAGCTTTATTTATGTCTTCTCTATCTATATAGTAATGCTTTGTGAGTAACACACCGAAATCTCAGGAAACCAACAAAGCCACAGCTTTCAATTTATGTGTGTGTTTAAATCTAGCCGTACTGTACCAGGCTTGCCATCAATGGATGGTATTTTAAAAAAACAACAACTGTTGAATATTTTGTACTGGTTTTTCATTTAAACCTGTATAGAGTGCTGCAGGAATGCTGCAGAAATCCTAAAACCTGAACATTTTGCACTCCCAGTTCCATCACGCCAAAGCTTTCTTAAATGGCTTTTTGGTTAAATGCTTGAAATAAGGTGTGTGGTTAACACAGGCTCAAGATGTTTTTTACATTTTATTCTATGACATAAAATAAATCAGAAATACCTAGGTCCTTATGAAATTTGCTTTATTTATTTATTCCATTTTAATTCTTAAAAAAGTATTTTTTTTTATTTGAAATAAATAGAAATAATGTAGAAATAAATATAGAAATAAAAAGCATGCTAAACTGAAATCATGAAATTGATACAATTTTTAAAAAAATTATTTAATTTAACAAAAGCTACATTTTTTAGTCACATGAAATCAGTTTTTATTTTTCAACAAATTCAGCTTTATTTTTCTCAAATTCCATGTTTACTTTTTTCATTTTTCTGGATTCCATTTTAATGGTTTAATTAAATTCAAAGAATCAAAAAGCATGTCTAATCAACTGATTTTTAAAAATAATAGGGCCCGATGGAATGTTTTATTAATTCAGAAATTCTGTCTTAATTTTTTCTGGATTTATGATTTAATACATATTTATTATTAAAATTAATGGTAATCAAATAAAGACAAAACTTTAACAATTTAATTAATTTTTCAGAATGTAATCAAATGAAAATGTTATGGATGCACCAAAAGTGCAGTAGAGGTTTACCGTTAAAATTGTGTCATTCTTTAAAATGATATTTTTTTTTTATCTTTAACTTGTCCTGAATAAATTGGACTACAGAGGTTGTTGGGGGAACTGTGTTTTTACTCTATCTCCTGCCAAATCTTTTTTTTTTTTAACCTGAAAACCATTTAGTCTGACAGAGTTGTCAGAAGCTTAAAGGGTTAGTTCACCCCAAAATGTCAAAAATTCTGTCATTAATTACTCACCCTCGTGTTGTTCGAAACCCGTAAGAAGTTTTCCTGTTGAATGTTATTTAAAGGTTACAAAAAACGTTTCCTAGAATGTTTCGTATCATAAGAACCTTCTGAGAATGTTGATCTCAGAACATACAGTATGTCAAATGTTAACAAAGCATTCCACAACCATTACTTTAAGAATGTTTTGTCCTAACATTTATATAACTTAAAGGGTTAGTTCACCCAAAAATGTCAAAAATTCTGTCATTAATTACTCACCCTCGTGTTGTTCGAAACCCGTAAGACCTTCGTTCATCTTCGGAACACAATTTAAGATATTTTTGATGAAATATGAGGGCTCTCTGACCCTCCCATAGACAGCAAGGTAACTACCACGGGTTTGGAACAACACGAGGGTGAGTAATTAATGACAGAATTTTTGACATTTTTGGGTGAACTAACCCTTTAATGGTGGTGACGTTAAAGTCGTGCGACCATGGTGTAGTTCTAGCATTTTACTTCTGCCGATTGTATTTAGACTTCAAAATTCATAACACTTATTTGTGAAGTTTATCATGATGAACAAAATTCATGTAAGAATCATAAACTTTTGTCAATCACAGAGCTTATTTTCTACAACAATCCAAAGCCAAAGGAAAAATCTATAGTTTTTTTTGTGGAGGATCTATAAGGTGATGCAAACTTCCAGGTAGGCCTACAAAAACAGCTCCTCCCCGCAGCACTCTGTACCGAGTCAGCGGCTCTCACCTTGACATGCTCCTGCAGCTGCACTTCATGCTGGCGCGAGAGCTGCTCGTGCTGCCGCTGAAACTCTGCGATCAGGATCTGCCTCTGTATCTGCTGTTTCTGCTTGAGGGCCAGAAGCTCCTGCTGCAGCTGCAGCTCGCGCTGGGCCGGGTCCGTCGGCGCCAGGGCGAACTGGTGATCCACACGCAGGTCCATGGGGATGGCAGAAGGCGGCACTTGCAGTGGCAGCACCGCACTCACATCAACTGCGGAAAGAGAGAACAGAGACTCAACAAACTGTACAGTACTCAGAGCACTTAAAGCTTTTAAAGCTGTTTTAAACTTTTAGGAAAAGCTTTTCTAAGTCAACATTCAAATGTCATTTACACAAACTAACTTTTATGCTGCAAAAACGAGTCGCAGAGGTAAGTCAATTATGCAAGAAAATACTGATGTGTACGAAGACTATACATTTGCATTATTTACATTATACATTTACCACCACAGGTATCATTCCCAAAACAAATTAACATTTCAATTAAAAATATTATATACTAAAATTATATACTATCTACTTATCTATACAAATGCACACACACACACACACACATTGTGGTTTATTTTATAGCATGCAAATATATAAACATACAAAAATAAAAATATATGCACAATTATCATTAATAACTAAAATATAAATAAAATATAATTATAAAATAATTATTTATTAAATGTATAAATACAATAGTCATTAATTAATAAAGATCAATTAAAGGTGAAAGTTTTTTAGTTTTTTTTATTAATTCAATAAATGTTCATTTAAATGTCATAAATGTCATTCATAGTTTATGAATAAATTGTGTGTGTGTGTGTGTCACATAGACACACACAATTTATTCATAAACTATGAATTGCTTGTTTTCAAGTTCTTGTGCTGCAGATC